AATGAAAATTAGGAAAGGAACATTCAAATATTAAATTATATAAAAGGAAATAAATCAGTCAAGTTTATTTTCCAAAAGTTTAGATCCCACTCACTCGGACCTGGGATGAACTGTGCCGGCTGATGAACATGAAGGATGCATATCTTCTTCCCTCTCGAGTTCTTCAATGTCCAAAGTAGAGTGGATTCATTCTCTTTTACTTCTTTTCCAACCGCCACAAAAATCTTATCATAGATGTTTCTGTGGGATYGCAAATCTTCTTCAATCTCTCCACCTCTCTCCATCAATCCAGAGATGCCAACATGACGAGGAACTTTCTTCTAAGCTTCCATAGAGGAGCAGGTAGAGGACACGACACATCCGTCAAGAGAATCTATTCCATTGGAATACTCGATTTCACTRCTGCTTCCGAATCTCTCCTCGTTCTCTAATGGAATCTAGGAGTATCAAAAAGAGAAGCAGACCATTAGACACCGGGATCGATAGATTATATTCTTCGAGATAACTGCTATAGATTATATTCTGAATCTCTCCCTCGCAGAAGAAAAAATGATGTTGTCGTAGTCCCTTGAGTGACCGATTCGGTTGAGTTGATTGGAAACACTCGAACATGACTCAAACTVGGGCGTCGGAGGAAGATGATGGCGGGGCATAGCCCCTTCTGCCGTGGTTGACCGTTGGCGACAGCAGTGGTTGTCGAGGCAAGAACCGATTGGTCATGCTCTGTACCCATCTCCTCTGAGGTTTATCACAGATTGAAAAAAGAACCGCGTAAGTGGGCAACAACTTGAGTGACWAATTCCGAGAAAAAACCCTCCATCTTCGTCGCTCTCTCTCTACTTGAAACTCTTGTCTCTCGAGCAAACGAGAAACTGTTCGGTGAAAAAAAGTTAGACTCCCCGCGGCTGCGTGATTGTATTCGACTGGTTTAATTTTAAAACCGTCGAGTCTATTCTTTTAAACCGCCGCATCTATTCTCGAATCCAATGTAGGCATTCTTTAGATAGCACTATAGTGACGGTCATTAAGACCGCCAGGTCTAAACCGCTGGCTTAGACCATTTTTCTTGTAGTGAATGACACTTTTGTAATTATTAGAAAATTAAGGAAATAAATAATGGCACATTTGTAATTAGGAAATKCTTATGAATATCACACATTGGTTTTACACGAAAATTGAAGAAAAATGGTGGTTCAATACTGGTGAGATTGGGTTTTATACTTTGGTTTTTACATATGCATCTTCCATTGGATTTTACATGTTGGTTTTACATTTAATATTGGATTTTACACTTTGGTTTTTACACATGCATTTCCTATTGGGTTTTACATGTGGGTTTACATTTAACATTGTGTTTTACATTTAAATTTCCACATGCATTGGGCATGTGAAGACAAATGAAGAAGAGCCCAACTGGTGATTTTTATGGATGCCTTTTCAGGCCACAATCAGATAAGCATGCACCCTRGCGATAAGGAGAAKACGTTATTCATCACCGAGTACGGGACCTACTGCTACAAGGTAATGCGTTTTGGACTGAAGTATGTTGGGGATACATGGTGTATTAAGGAAGTATAACATGAAGTCGAACCCAACTAAGTATGCCTTTAGGGTCACCTCTGGAAAATTCCTCAGCTTTGTGGTCACTCAAYAGGGAACAGAAGCCAATCCCAAAAAAATACAAGCCATTCTAGACATGGAACCCCCACGATCGATCAAAGAGACTCAACATCTCATTGGCCAAATTGCAGCCCTCAAATGATTCATGTCTAAATCGGCCGATAGGTGTCTACCTTTTGTTCTGGGTCATCAAGAAGTTGAAGGACTTTCAATGGACAAAGGACTACTAGATAGCCTTCGACAAGTTGAAAGTATACCTTGCCTCACCACCATTGTTCACCCGACCCAATATGAGAGAGACCTTATTCCTATACCTTTTGGTTAGGGATGAGGTAATTAGTTTTGTATTAGTCTAAGAAGATGAAGGGTTTCAAAAGCCAGTGTACTATGTCAACAAGGTCCTCCATGACACCGAGACTAGATATCCAGAAGTAGAGAAGACAACCTTTGCACTAGTGATCTCGGCCAAAAAATTGAGGCCTTATTTTTAAGCCCACACCATCACGGTCATGACTAACCAGTCTTTGAAGAAGAAATTGTTGAAGCCATAGACCTCGGGTCGGTTGACCAAGTGAGCCATAGAACTATCAAAACTTGATATGCACTACCTGTTGAGACCTGCAAGGCACAAGCACTAGTAGATTTTTTGGTTGAGTGTACTTTCAATCACAATGGTGCTCTTGAGCAAGAAGAACCTCGGCCTTCTTGGACTTTACATATGGACGGTTGCTCCAATACTAGGGGGAGTGGAGCTGGCCTCATCCTCTTAACTCCAGATGACAATAAATTGAAGTATGCACTTCGATTCAGTTTCTCTGCTTCAAACAATGAAGCCGAGTACGGAGCCTTACTTGCTAGTCTCTAGCTAGAACTCTCGGTTGAGGTCTTCAACAACTCTCAGTTGGTTATGAATCAAGTGAATGGAGAATACGAGGCCAGAGAACCTAACATAGCCAAGTACCTGAAAAAGCCCGAGAGTTGGCCAAAGAGTTCCAACATTTCACTCTGCATCGAGTACCTCAGGCTGAGAACTCCCCTAACTTCCTAGCTCTTTGGGGTCGGCCCTCAACTGCATTGTGCACATAGAAAATGATGAGAGTAGAATTTATCACATTTTTATCCTCAATCATTCTGTCTTGCATACTTAATTAGTACTTAATTGTACTCATATTTCTTGTATTTCGGTTCACAGTTTTGGCACCATTTAGTAATCTGGGACTAACTCGCGTATCCGAACTCCGATTGGGCTGATTCAAGACCCATTGGATAGATAAGAGAAAAATTCACAACTTTTATGTTTTGGGATTTCACAGATTCGGCCTACATCGAAGTCAAATCTGGGTCCGAAGTCAGGGAAAATTCGTAGGAAGGCCCAATCCGCAACTTAAGCCCAACTTGTAGAAAAGTCTAGCAGCAGCCCAATTCGGAGAGGAGGTCTAATACGAATCCAAGAACAAAAAACTGAGAAGAGTCTTATCAGATCTAAATTTTTTATATAATCCCATAAAGATAAAGAGATTGAGTTCATTAGAAAAAGAGATAAGAGTAAGATTAGACTAGGACTTTCTATTTTTGAGAGATTAACTTCAAGAAAGAGTAGGAGACCACCCCCTCCCCTTAAGCTATATAAAGGGGTAGGGGGCAGACTAGAGAGGCATCAAGAAGCAGAGGAGAAATCCAGCTATCAAGCAAGAAGTCTGCAAGAAGGAGGTGGCGGCAAGGA